TCTCCGGTTAAAATCAGAACAGAACTAATGAGATTTTCCGGTGGCTGCGCTCTGCTTTATTAGCGTCATTTTCGAAAACGATCCAATCAAGTGAATTCGGAAAGTGCATTTTGCTATTATCGTCTTGAAAGATGGTCGAAAGTTGCGCCAAAGTTATTTGCGCTCGGCTAACAAATTGCCGATAGCCGTTCCAGTTAAAATTGCCGATCAATCGCGTTATTGTATATTTGCCTTAACTTTGCCATTTATTAACCGTCCTTAAGCCTGGGAAATTTATTAGCACTAAATTCATTTGAACTAGATAAGTGGACCATCGCTTAGTTATACGAAACGGTTTGCGTCCTTCATTGCTTGTTTTGGCGCATTAAACTGGGGTTTTATTTCGAAAGTGCCATCGAATTTAGATTCACATTGGAGGCAAAAATTGTCTGAATTCCACGGAGTTTAACTCCAAACTCTAACTGTTTGAGATAGTGGGTGTTAAAGCTACTTACATTTCTTCGAGGTTCGGAAAGTGCCATAGAGATGTCTCGTTCAAACTCGTTATGTTGTTACTTGTCAAGTCCCTGCAAAGATAACAGCAATATTAGTTCCAAAACTATATGAGGAAGTGCAAGATTATTGGGCGAATTTCAGCCGCCCTCTTCACAACTGGGTTCTTAGTTCCAAGAAAGTTTTACGAATAAAAATTAGCTAGCGCTTTTCAGTTAGTTGAGCATTCAATCCGCATCCAACCTCCAACATCAAAGCAACCTTAAGGTCGAAGAGCTGCTTGACTGATAGGTGAAGTGATCCTCAAGTTTCACTCCAAAACAAACAAAGTCAAGGATTTAAGGAAAAATTGCGTTCAATTGAATTAAGTCGCCGACCCTCTTAGATGCGGGTTTTTTAGTGGAGCAAGGCGAGGCGACTCTTAATTTTTTCCTCCGACCCGGCCATCATTTATAATAGAGCGTAATTGTCGACGCACATGAGAAGTTGACACTTTCCTCAATATGCTTTCGCGCCGCCTAAGAAAAGATGGATTTTAAGGCAATTTATCATCGGGGGAACTCTTCCCGCCTGTCCTGGAAAATGGTCCTTCGCTCTTTGTGCTTCCAAGGACGATCTGCCTGATCCCGAAAGTGTCGAGATTGGGTTAAAACAAACTGATCAAGTTCGTTAACCTCGCGGGAAATTGTTTGCTTCCATATTATGGCACAAGTGTGCTTGGGTTTTAAACACCGCTAAATAGATGAAAGAAAATGCAATTTTCTAATAACGTTTTGTGTTGAACGGGCGCGCTACACTTTGCCGATCTGTGTGTCTGGCTCTAACGAACGGAATTGTTTAACATTTCGAGGTGTTGCCGATGGCAATTTTGAACTTTTCAAAGTGCTCCTTTTCTAGTTTTGAAGTTGCAGTTTTTCAGAGTCAATGCCGCTGTTGTGGGGAAATTTGGGGCGTTGCCCAACAACTGGCAATATCGACAAAATCGGTTTGCAAAAAAGCGTATAAATTCCAGAAAACAATTTACCAAAACCTGATTAATCAGTTGGTGATGGAACATAAATGAAGTTAAAAACGCTTGAAGATTTAGCCCTTTCTGAAAAGTGTCAAATGTTTAAGTTGCTGGCTATTGGCCGGATTGAGCAAATTTGATTGGCCATGTGGAGTACGCTTCTTTGCATGTTCGCAGGACTTTTTGCAGTGATAACTTTTTATGGGAGGGTGAACCGATTTGAACCACTCCGGCCTCTTCGCGCCTGAGGCTTGGG